GTGAGCGTTCTCGAGCCTGGCATGGGGCTGGCACCCGACAGGCTCTCCGTACATACTTTTTAGAGTTACGGAGGGAGGCATGAATGGAAGGGTGGATGAACGGGCAGATGGATGAGGGCAGAAGGTGGGCTGGATGGATGCCTGAAGAGACGGAAGGACAGATGGGCGGCTGGGTGCATGTGAGGGAGGGGGGGCAGGGAGGAGGATGTACCGATGGACTCTGGGCCCTTCTGAAAACTCATTCATAAGCGCTTACGTTGTCCGCCGGAGGTGGAGGCGTTTTCTTTGGCATGAGACCTAATTTGAATGATGGTGATAATGCAGGTGAAGCATCCCTGCTCTGAAAATCTGAAATCCAAAATGCTCTGAAATGCAAGACTTTTTGAGGGTCGACATGATGATCAGAATTTTGGGATTTTGGAACATGCGGGGTTTCATATTTTCAGATGAAGGATGATAGACCGGTAAAGTGTGTGCAGATATTCCCAAGTCTAAAGAATGCCAAAATTGGAAAAAAAAAAAAAAAAACAAAAACAAACCTCTGGATCCAAGCATTTTGGATTTTTCAGTGCTTCCTCTGTGTTGAGCTTCATGCTACAGCTATCGCACACCTTATCAAATTTAGCACAACGGCTCTTTAAGGAGAGCTTTAAATTGACCTCATTGTATAGATAAAAAGACTCAGAGGAATCCTTTCCCAAGAGCCACACATGGCTAGAGGGTATCGGAGCTGGAATGGACCCCAGCTGAGCTGTGGCTCCAGGGCCCCTGCCCTTACCCGCATTGGCCACTGTCTGTGAGTAGCACTCACTGTGTCTACCTGTTGGCAGAGATATTTTTTTTCATCCTAATCTTCCAAACCAGATATGTCCCATTTAATCATCCCAAAGAGAAGTCATTTGCCCCCAGTCATACAACTAAAAGAGAGCAGAGGTGAGATTCAAACCTGGATTTGTTTGACAGGACAGTGAAGCAGAGCTTCAGAATTAGGAGGGAAGGGTGGGTGGGGTGGGTGGGGCCCAGTTTCTGGGCCAGAGCCACCCGGGGCAGGGAGTCTGGACCGGAACCAGGCATCAAATTAAATTTGGATCTAATGAGAGCTCTCTATCCTCACAGTCTTGCTCAAGAAATCAACTCCGCCGTAGTGAAGTACCGGCCATTGACCTAGCCCGGGTTCTAGATCTGGGACCCATCTCTCGGAGAGGTAAGCGGCCTAGTCCTGATAACCAGGTCAGCAGGCCGGGTGCTGATAGTGCCTAGGGTCACCCACCCAACTCCTCAGGGCTCTTTTGCCTTCTTGGTCTGGCCCCCACTGGTGGATCTGCCTTTCCGTGATACAGAATGACGTTGTCCATTGTGATGGTCCTCCTGGGTGCGAGAGTCCTGGCCAAGCTCTTGGCTTTCAACAATTTACTCAATCCACCCGTAACTGTGGGCATTTTACAGGTGAGAAGCCAAGGCTCAGAGAGAATCGGGAACTCACCTAAGAGCAAACTGCTCCTAGATGGTGGAAATGAGGCCTGAGCCCAGCTCAGTCTGATCTGGGAGCATGTGGCCTTGATCTTCCTCCACCTGCTCCAGATCCCCATAACTCGGTCCCTTTGGGGTGAAGTCTAAGGTTCCTGCTTAGAAGAAACTCTGTATTCTGGCTGTTTTCCAACATTCAGTTATAGTATTCTTGAGTAGGATATTAGGGGAACCGTTTCAACTGCTCCCCAAATTTTATCCATCCTACACATGGGTTCACACAGTACTCTCGTGGTTTTATTTTCCCTCCATAATGGAGGTGTCAAGACATGCAAAAATAATGAAATCAATTTTTTTGCCCTGAAGAAATGAATATGTAATAACATGAATAATTTTAATAATGATAATGATACTTATTTGTACCTGGCACCACGCCAAATACCTTTCTAAACCGACACTCTGAATGCTCAAGTAAGCACTATTGCCACATCCATTCTCCACGTGGGTAAGCAGAATCTGTCTCATGAAGGACGCTCTGCCCCTTTTCCTGAGCCCTCTATCTGGTGCCTTCTGTGGTGCCCAGGATAACTGAGAGAGGAACTTCCACTCTGGAGTCAGACATCCTGGGCTTCCAATCCCAGATCTGCTACTGCTGGGCAAGGTCAACTCTGCAAGTCCCTTAACATGGCTGAGTCTCGGTCTTCTCATCTGTCGAGAGGAGACGAGGACATTTTCCTCACAGAACCTCTCAGGAGGATTAGGTTTATTATGCATGAGTTGCATTTAGAAAGGTGCCCACTGGATGTCTGTGGTTGTGGGGACCAGGTCAGGGTTTGGAACAGCTGCGGTCACGGTGCTACAGTCACCCAGAGCATGACTGAGAGGTTCTTGCCCTCTGTTCCCGTTCATAGGTGCCCAGTCTCTTGGTGTCATGAATGGAACCCCTGGAACTACAGGTACATCATGTCCTCGTGTCTCTCCTGTGGCCTTCCCAACTCCCTCTCCTTCCCCTCTTCAATCTAGTCCCTTCTACATGCCATTTCCTGTGCCTGCCACAATGGGCCAGAGCTGAGACTGGCTCCTTGGTCTAGCAGAGGAGACAGTCATTGGATGACAAATATTCAAGTGCCTACTGTGTGCCAGGCATTGTTCTAGGCACTGAAATTATGGTGGTAAGCGAGACAGACTGGTGCATCCCCTCGTAGAACTCATTACGTGAGAAACAGACGATAGAAAGGAAGCATAAGTTATTTAGAAATAAAAAAAAAAGATGATGGGACAGAAAGTTACTAAATGCCTAGTGATGTTCAAATCAGATCGAAGCGTATTGCTCTCATACATAAGTGAAATCGAGAGGCAAGCAGTTCAAGGCAAGTAGATCGGCTCTTTCTAGCCCACTGCTTCGGCATCTTGAAGATGGGACTATCAGCTCCATGGTCCAAGATGGCAGCCGGAGCTCCAACCCTCCCATCTAGAAATCCAGATGGAGAGAACATGGAAGAAGTTAATGAGTGTTGAGGCACATTCCTGGAAGCTGGCACCGTATAACTTTATTCATATTCACCGACCAGGGCTTAGCCACATGGCCCCAGGTGACTGGGTGACCATGTACCCAACCAACGATCAATGGTTTTATTGCCACAGTAGGAAGGAAGAGTGAATGTCGGAATGGATAAATGGTCAGAAGCACAATCGGAAAAAGTGATACTCAGTGGAATGAGAAAGGGAAAGTGGGCAGATCTGGGGAGAATGGAATCCCTAAGCAGAGGGGACATCAGTTCATGGCATCCGTGAGGCTGGCACCTAAGGAAGTTAGTGGCGAGCTAGTAGAGAGTGCAGAAGGGGCACAGGAAGACTGATTCACTGTAATGGAAGAGGGCATGGAAGAATTTTATGGGGTTTTGATGAATGACTTGGAGTTCAACAAGCAGACTAATCAAAGAGGTTTATTCTGGACAAAATGGGAAGCACGTGTATTAGGATTTTGCTATCCTCAAAATGACCTGCCTTGACAAACGCAGTCCTGAAAAAGTTCCCTTCATCCTCAAATCCTCAACTAGACCTCTGTCTAAAAGTTTTCTCGGGAAGTCCAAGATGGCCTCTTCATGCTTCATGCCAACATTCATGCAGACAATACGAAGAAAAGAAGTGTCCATGGGAGAGGGTGGATAGAGCTCAGAGTAAAAGCAGCTTGAAGTCAGGGACCTCGAGTCTCCTTCAGCTCTGCGGGCCCTTCAGGTCAGCTCAGGGCCTGGAACAGTGTGGCTTCCCGGGAGAGTCGGCTGAATTGTCTGATTTCTAGGGTGGACAGTTGGGAGCCTTCTGGAAGAGATCAATCCGATGTCAAGGCAGCAGGCCACCACAAGAGGGCACTGTGGTTCTCACAGTTTTCTCTCTCCCTCAGTCATTTCCTGATATTTTAGAATTAACAGTCCGTCCATTTCATGTGTGAAGATCACGGTAGCCCTCTCCCTTCTTCTAGGACGTCATCAGCAGGTTATGTTTACCGTGTGCCATACAGTATTCTAAGTGCCAGATATGAATTTACTCATTTAAGTCTTACAAAACTCTGGCAAGGGGGTAGGTGCTACCAATATATCTGCTTTGCATACAGGAAAACTCAGGCACAGAGAGGTTGACTACCTTGCCTGGGACTTCCTAACTAAAGATTCTAAACTAAGTAGTCAGGTCTCAGAGGCATTGCTTTGTGCCTTTATGACTCTTCAGTATTAGTCAGTATAAGTCATGCTAGCTGCTAAAACAAACAATCCCAAATCCTCTGTGCCTTTACACAACAGTATAACTTCCCACTAAATTGCTGAAGTAGGGTGTAGTCCTAGTCTATGTACTAGGAACTCTGGTTCCTTCTGGTAACTTCTGCCAGCTCCATCATTCCCTGTGATCCTAGCCTTCATCTTCCACCACTGATCCCTAGAATGGTAGATAAGAGAGCATGCAGGATCATGTTGGAGATTTTCAGAACCTGGCCTATATAGATGGCCTGAATGACTTTTAGACACATGTCACCGGCCAGATTTAGTCACATCGTCCTACCTACCCTGCAAAAGAACCTGGGAAAAATTTGCCTTCGTGTTCCAAGAAGAAAATGGGGAGAGTGGTTCGTGGTTAGATAGCTGTGCCTCTGCCACAGGGCTCCCAGGGGCCATGACCCCCCACCAGACATGAAGGACGTTCTGCCTTCCCCATCCTGTGTGGCACATGGCAAGGAGGCCAGCGCACATTGGCTGCTGAGTTCCCAAGCCCAGGACTTGACTTTCGTGTCTCTGTGTTCCAGGGTTCCTGGTGGCCTGGCCCACGCTCCTCCTGCCTGTCCTCCTGGCCTGGCTGTTCTGAGAGCCCAGCTGGACATCTGGCCTTAGAGTCCATGCTGTCCCCTCCGGCAGTGGCTCCCATTCACCCTTCCTGAGTGGGTCCCTTGCACTTCACCCCGAAGTTTTGGCATTAACAGATTCAAGACCAGGCCCGGCTTGGGAAGTAGAAGAGCTTTCGTGGACTCTGACACTGTCATACCTGTGTGTCCCCTTTGTCTCTCAGTGGGGACCCTGTCGGCCTGTCCTGGGCTGGCTTTCTCGTTTTCTCCTTTGCTCTTGGAACCCTGAAAGCAAACTTCCTGGAGTAAAGACTGTGGCCCCAGGCTTTCCCGGGAGTGTAGCACATGTTGGCGACTGTGGGGGGCGGGGTGGGGGGCATCTCCTGTGCTGACGGCTGAGGAACTGGACAGTCTGACTCTTGGGTTCTGTCCGCCTCCTCTCCTGTGTCTCATCCTGCTCTCAACGGTCGCCATGGGAACATGTAGCAAGGCCACTTTGGGAGATTCTCCAAGGGAGGAGTGGTCCCATGGCTCCCCTGTTCCCCCCACTCCACCTCATGGGCTTTCTTAGAGCCACTAAGAAACTTCTGCCCCGGGGACCTGGATGCTGAAGAAGTCGCTTGATTTTGGTGCAGAGATGCCATCGTCCCAGAGAACGCGCCTCACTCTTCCAATCATGGCGCACCTGCTCTGGGGGGTAAACAGGAAGTCCTGGCACAAAGTGAGAGGCCCGTCCTGCCCCCGGGAAGGTGGTAGCGAAGCCAGAGAGATGGGTGGCATCCCTTCCTGGAGAGCTTTAATGGGCCCTCACCAAGCACTCCACAAGGATGCCACCCACCGAGAATTCTTCCTCTTGCCCCAGCTACACCTTAGTGCCTCCAAGCCGGCCGTGGGGACGGGGTCAGGAGCCAGCGTCAGGCCCCTGGAAGTTGAGCCTGTCTATTTGCTGACAAGAGAGTTTGCAGGGCTCTGCCTCCTTCACAGAGGATGTGCCTGTGAGGAGCAGAAACCCATTTCCACTCCCTCAGACTCGGGGCAGTTAAGTATAAGGACAAAGAAGCACAAAGACCAAGGGCAGGGGCTACAGCCTGGCCACACACGCGCTGGGAGTCAGGTTTGAGCAAATGGGAGCAACCAGGGTCCGTCTGTCTTTCCGCCTGTCCCTCCTCCTGGGACCCCGTAGCCTGCTGCAGCTGCTCACCTGTGCGTGTCTCCTGCATTTCCTCCTCCCGGCTTCACCTGCTCGTTCATCACTTGATTAAACATGCACATTCCCGCTGCACATCACTTCCTAATCCAGGGGCCAACAGAGACTGGCTAGCACCTTGCTCTCCCACACCCACACTGCACCGGGGATCTGCTTGGCTCAGAGTGCTTCCCCAGGTCCGCTCCCTGGAGGTGGGGTGAGGGGCACCAGCTGTAGACCAAATCCAGCCACCACGGGAGCCAGCCCCAGGCCTCAGACGAGTGGGGCTGTTTCTTGGACAGACACCCACCCAGGCCCTATTTCCCAGTGAGTTGGAGGAGTCATACCTTCTACATCCCACGGGAGACGGTGGGTAGGAGGAGGTCTAGAGCCGTCAGGAGGTCGCCAACTTGCCCCTTCTGTAGAATAAAAGGGATTGAGCTAGAACCAGGCCCTCAAACATTTGTAACAGGGGAAGCCTTTCCTTAAATATGATTCTACATAGGTGTCCTATACAAGGAGAGCGGAGGCGTGAACTCTCGCTGGTGGCAGACAGGGGCTTAGCTCCTCCGTTCTGTGACTCCTCATGCTCAGGCCCTCAACACAGCTCCATGATGACCCCCAGGGCCACTGGGAAGCGAGGTTCTGGAACTCCCCAGGACAGAACACTTGACTATCTCTTCCAGAATAAAGTGGAATTCTGCCTATCCAGAGCCAACCCTATCTATCATCTCTCTCTCTCTCTTTCCTCCCTTCCTTCCTATTATATATCGAATCTATCATCTGTCCATCTCTGACTATCATCCGTCTATCATCTGTCAGTCACCTGACTGACTAGCTGGTTACCTTTCTTTTTGATTCCTCCACGGGGCCTCTTACCTGTCAGTCTCTGGAACAGTCTACATTCATTTGGTCAACACAGATTTGCTGAGCAACTCCAAGGTAATGAATGAGCCAATCCCTCCACTTAGAAGGGATAAGGGCCTGGCAGAACACACTCACAGAGGAGCTCACAGGAAGACCACACTCAAACGCACACCCCCACTGAGCCTCAGGCTCGGGCCCTGTGTACCTCCATGTTCCCTCCACCCCAAGACACAGATTCTAAGAGACACATGTACCAAGCTCCTGTGCTCCAAGTCACAGTTACACATGCAGAGAGCCACACTCGGACCCTCAAGTCCAGTCACTTCTGTACTTATGGCATGAATAACGGCAACAACCAACATTTTTAAACAGACCTGATTTATCAGGTTTTATTTTAAGTGTATTGTGGACGAGGCATCGTTCGGCCATGACGTTAGACGTTGAACCTAAGCACGGTTATTATTTTCAAATTACAGACAAGGACACCAAGACTTACAAATAATGACTCTCTCAAGGGTCTACAGCTTTTAAAAGCTGAATTCAGGAGTTTAGGGCTGGAACCTAACTATCCTGACTTGAGGGCATATGATCTTAAGTAAACACTGCATTCTGCCTCCATTAAAACTACCCCATGCAGCAGCACCACTGTATACACAGATGCATGATCATTCTTCTGTGTACCCATCTGCAGATACATGAGAACACGTGCAGGCATACAGATTTGCCAACAGAGGCCCTCACACATACATAGTCATTGGCATTCATGGACGTACTGTTCCTAACGTGTGCGTGGGCTCATGCATGGTTGTTTAAACGCATAGATCCTTACTGCAACTTAATATAGAAATAAACACAGCAACACTCACATCTGAGGCACGCACATGGATACATACATACACACACAAACCTGCATCTCCGTCCCCACACACAGAGGGCCTGGATCCACCCTCCAATGAGCCAGGCAGGACTGTGACCAGGCGCCCTCTCCTGTTAGGTTTCTTCTCCCTCCATCTCCAGTGTGACCCAGATGGCCACTGACAAAGAAGAGGGTCAGCCCAGGGCACAGTAAAAATGGGCTCTAAACCCAGCCTCTGAAGGTTCTGAGCAGAAGGATGACAGAGGAACCCGACCCCCATTCAGGGAGGCTGGCCTCTCCGTCCTGAGGGAGCCTCTCCCAGGAACTGTTGGAGAACACAGGGAGGCTTGGGACAGTGCTGCCCTCCAGGAGCTGCAGGGCATGCAGACTCCGGGCAGCAAACGCTAAGTAGAGCCAGGCTGAGCCAGACGCTGTTGCGAGATTCAGCCTGGGAGAGGAGGGAAGGCCGGGAGCCCAGTGGATTTAGTTCTTCCCGTTTTACAGATTGAAACTGAGGTCCAGCAAAGAGAAGTGGCCCCTCCGCTCTTAACCCCTTAAAAGAGGATTGTGGTCAGGTGAGCACGAGAGAGAGGCAGGGAGAAAAGGTGGAGCTGATCACCTGAAGGATATTGGGAATGGGAGCCCGGACGGTCAGTTCCGCCCAATCCAACCATTGCATGATCTCCCCTCACCCCTGGGGCTCCTCCAACCTCTTTCTCCCGGGAAGCGCTGCAGGTCACCCTCTCATTCTCCTTCCTCCTCCTCATATTCGATTGGGCTTTCTAGAGCTCTATTAAGTCCATCCACTTTCTGCAGCCCTGTGGACTCTGATCTCTAAATGACTCATCTATTACCCAGGCCACTGGGTAAGACCTGACTGGTCTTCTCCAGACTCACCCCCGCCCCCAGTGCACCCTCTACTGAGCAGCTCCTGAGCATTTAAAGCAAAATTGGCTCACTGCCTCCGCCTGCTCCTTACCTTCCCTGGGGAGAGTTCTGCCTGCTCAGGGGGCAGCCAAGCCTCCACCTCGGAGCCCTTGCCTGACTCTGCAGCTTTATTTCCTTCTCGGCTTCATGGGATTGCTCCCGGGTCCCCGAGCTGTTCTCTTGCACCCCAATCTCCTTTAGCATGTGCTGTTCTTGCCACCCAGAAGGCCCTCCCCTCACTGGGGGTACCAGCCTGATATCTCCCCTTAGGGGTCAAGCCTTCCTGACTCCCCTGTCCAGCCCCGGGTTGGTCCACCCTGCTTTGTGAGCACTTCTCCATAGACCCTAGTGCAGCGTGAATCCCCTGCGTCTCGGATGATCTGTTTTGACATCTGTCCTCCGTCCCCCGCTCTCCACCCCAGACTGTTAGTTCTTTGAGGGCAGAGACTTTGCCATGTTCAAACATTACTGAATGAATAAATGAAAAAGCAGGGCTGCTTGCTTTCCTCTTTGTTCCTTGACCTCCTGAGTAACCATGCCGTAATCATCTGGAAGGGGAAGAAATGATTTTTAACATCAGAAAGAAAGGAGACTTTCTCACTTGGACAATTATGGTAAAAAGGCCAAATCAGCATCGGAAATAGGAATTCTGAGCTCTGCCCCAGACATCCACTGCCACATGGTTTTTCAGCCCACTTTAGGGGACGATCCGTTTCTTTTCACCTCATTCCCTTCCTCCGGGGCTTCAGGGGAGGTGGGTTTGGATTTTGAGTGTCGTTCTTCCACGGAGGATGACTGTGGTGGGATCCATGTAGTGCACAGTGGCAGACGGTAAATTGAGAGAAGCTTTGATTAATGGCAAGAGGGGAGGGAAAAAAATAAAGCCCGCCTTATAAAGAGCTGGGAGACTAAGCTAAGTCTAGAACTTAGTGCATTCCATAGCCAATTAGCAGCCAAATCTTAGAAAGTCACAGAGAGGAGCGTTTGAACCTCTAAGTATCAGGAAAAGCATGTAAGGGCTGGGGCTGTCGCTCAGTGGTAGAGCACTTGCCTAGCGCATGCAAGGGCCTGGGTACACCCAAGCACCATGCACACACACACACACAAAAGCATGTATTTGGATACCACCCAAAACACCAGATTCTGGGAACCCCTGTCACGGGCAGCATGAACTTTGTTTCATAGACTATCTCGCAGGTTTACTGGGTTGGCAGGGAGGGTCGGGGCCTGGTTGCACATATTTTCTTTCAATGTCTAGATCCAGTTCCAAATTCATGGAGAAGAACTACGGTTTTAAAGGATAGAAACCTTGGACTCTTGGACCCCAGGCCGTGCATGCATGCACTCCCCCCTCCTGAGAGGTAGAAAGGGAGTAACCGCTCTAACAACTCCAAGGGTCACCAGAGAAATAAAGTAGGGAAATGCTGTGAAGTCACTTTGCAAGCGGAAAGTACCGTGCAGATGATCACTGGGTTGTCATCGTCACCATCACCAGGATCGCTGTTGCTTGTTGTTCCAGGTTTTTTATGGCTTAAGCAGCTTTTCACATCTCTTCACTTTGCCCTTGTGACCAAAAGGAGGCCACCCTTAAAAAAAATCCTTGTGTTTGCCAGAAACATGCGAAGTAGGTCCCCTCTCCGTCAGCACATGGAATCTTTTATGAACACCTGTATGTCCGAGCCAGCCTGCCGGACGTTTTCTCTGTAGTCTCCAATTTAATCTACACTACGCAGCTCCTTTGAGTTGGAGGCTGTGATTCCATTTCACAGAGGAAGACACTGAGGTAGAGAGAGGGCTAGGGACATCCCCAGTGCCGTTGCATTTATTTACTGCCTATAGTTAATACCTGCCATCTATTTATTGCTCGTGGATGAGTCAGCACTTCTCATTTTACATCTTCTAGGTGACTGAGGGAGATTCAGGAACCTCAGGTCACTGGCTGTGCGGTTAGGAGGTGATAGGATCCAAGGACGGAAATCAGATTTACTTTAAATGCAATAGATGCAAACTTTGTGTCTGCCACGCTGCCCCCTGCATGACCCATGATGCTCTGCAGTGACCAATAAGACCCTCCTCAGAGCTGTGTCAAGTTCTGCAAGTGTACACATTGCATGTGTGTGTGTTTGTGTCTGTGTGTGTGTGTGTGTGCATTGTGTGTTTGTAGGGGGCAGCAACCACAAGTCAGTTCTGGCAAGACTGAAGGGTATTAAAACCACTCTTCCTGAGACATCATTAAGATCTCTTCACCCTCAGCAGGAACTCAGGGGAATCATTGGACCCAGGAGATCCGGAGGAGCAGTACAGATGATCTAATCCATCCCGCTCTTTCTGTCCCCAAGGAAACCGGCACCCAGAGTGCAATGGGCCAGCAATCAAGAAATTCATATTGCAGTCTGACTTCTGCCGACGTGAGAGTTCGAGAATGCCAGTTTAAGTTCCCTTGAGTCATCTGTAAATTAAGATAAGGACACCCCCTCTGCCACACTTGATGATCTGTGACTCTGCCATGGACAAGCCATCCCTGTCCAACCCTCCAGCCTCAGCACAGCCCTCTTTTGTTGAGCCTGGGGATGTTGCAAGACAAATTCCTACTGGTAAACTTGGCCCCAGGGCCCTCAGATTGGGCCAGAACCTGGAAGAGTACAGGGCAGACAGGGAGGCGGACTGGATTGCAAATCAGAACCCTGGAAAGAAAGCTCTCCCTTGCTCCGTTCCAACGGGCTCTTACTGAAGAGCCGGTGAACCAGCGCCCTGGCTGGGCATCCCTCACTCTGCAGGGGCTCAGAGAACTCTGCCTTGCCAAGGTGGTTCTCTTCCATCTGGGGCTCCCCAGGGAGACAAGTAGCACTTAGGGTCTTGTCCTTAAGATAGCTATGACTGTGTTGTTTGGCTGGTGGTGACAGCAAGTGTTTTTGTGATGTTTATTTATTGTGTAGCCACAAAATGCTTTTGCAGTATTTCATTAGCATAGAACACAGAGTTC